TTTTAGTAATAGAATCACGTGAGATAGTCATAGTTTTGTCTTTTTATTTTTACTTTATTTTTATCTTTATTTTTATTATAATAGCTTATAAAAATTTAATAAACTTATGACAGTACTACATCGTTAAAAAAAACCCATTCGATTCCTTGCAACTTGACGGATCTAATGAGCTAACATTCATTAATTTTAGATCATTCAATTGCGAGATAATCGATAATCACAATTGTATTATCGGCTGAAATTATGAATCAATAAATTCTACTTTAAATAAAGAGTCCAGATTTCGAAATACGATTGCGAATATCTCAAGATAGGCTAATCCAAATCAATGAATGTTAACTTATTGGATTCGTCTAATCGCAGGAAATCGAATAGTAGTATTTTCATACGAATCAGTGCGATATTGATCGAGATCATACATCTTTTATTTTTTTTGTTTTTTCTATATATAAAAAATCATGTGATATGATGTAATTTCGACCATTTCAACTTTTCATTTCGACTTTGACCTCTAAAATCGAAACATTTTGACTTTTGGGTTTTTATTTTGACTTCATGTATATAATTGGTCTTTATAAATTCAAAGATTATTTTTTATTTATATTCTATTAATTAATTTTTTTATAATAAATTTATCTTTTTAATTATTATATTAAATAAATTTTTATTAATTTAAAATAAAAAAATTCTTTAAAAATTAGAAACATTACTTAATTTAGGATCTGATTATAGGATCTAGATCCTAAACCTAAAATTTTAAAGATTTTTTAAATTTTAAAAAGAAATTTAAACTTATTTAAATAAGTAATTTTAATTAAAAAATTAATTACAATGATAATTTTTTAAAATTAATCAGGACTTTTTAGGACTTTTCCAGCCCTATTCTAAGCCATAAATAAGAATTCTAGTATTATATATATATTTTCTCACATTTCAAAAAAATACTACAACTAATTTGTTTTTATTGCTAATATATTGCTAACTACGAGAATATTTTATACTTTTTTTTTACAAATATGAAATAAATTATATTTACAAATTTTTACCTACAAAAATCATAGGAAATTTTAATTTTAGTTTAACTTTACAAGAGAACTTAAGTAATTTTAAACATATAATATAAATTAAAAGATTAGCAATTAAAATAAGAAAAGTAATGGTTTACACTTACTATTATATCTAATTTTAGAATATTCTAGTTCATTTCATATTTAAAAAATTTAATGCTTAATTTTTTTATCATTAGAATAGTAAAAAATGCTTATAATTGAATAAATTTTATCTTACTGTTAAGAATAAAATTTTCCAAATCTTCAATATATAAATAACAAATAAAAACTCATTTAGCAATAATTTTAATAAAAATTATATGTTTAATATTTAATACTACTTGATTAATAAAACTTTGATTAACTGCTTTAGTTAATATATGAATTATAATTAAAGATAGGTGAAAGTATTTTGTATTTTTAAATAATTTTTGTGAGTTATTCAAATTATATTGTTCTCCATTAATAAAATCAATTATAGTACTAATTAAAAATTTATCTTTATTTACTGGCAGCATATTGCATATAATATTATAATTAAAAAAAAATTAATGAAAAATAAATGGTGTAAGATATAAATTTTTTGTTAATTATATTATATAATATAATAAATTAATAAATTTTATACATAGATTTAGTAAAAATTGATTTAAATGTAATAAGCTTATGTGAAATTTTTTAAAGTTTGTTTGAAAATAAAATAGAAATAAAAAATAATAATTGATTTTTTTTAATTGCATGATATTCAAACAATGTTTAATATATATCATCAAAAATAGAAAGTAAAAAAAAAAATTATTTTAATACTTTTAATATTTTCTCAAGAAAAAAAATATTAAAGTTTTTCATTAATTTTAATTATATAATATTAAAATAAACAAATAAAAAATTACACAAATTAAATAACCATTTATAATAAAAATTTATGTAAAAAAAAAGACACTTGAAAGTAAAACTTGTATTTTCTGATTATATTTTATACATTTAAATGAGAGTAATACCAGTAAAATCATATTACAGATCATATGATTTACTATGTCTCATGTAGTATTAAATTCTTGTATTTATTACAGTTGTTATTATCTATTGATTATCTATAAACTAGGTAATGGGCACCGTTAGAGTGTCCGAAGCGTTAACTCACAATGGATATAATCAGGTACATATGTTACTGCAAAACCAAATTTACTTTTATGGATTTCGAAAATAAACACAATTTAAATCCAAATGGCATCATTAGAATTTACTTTTATGGTAAATAAAATTAGAACGGAAAATGGAACAGAACAACAATACATTTTATTGGCCAATTACGCGTGCGGACAGATGAACAGATACAACTTGCATCACATAGAGTCTAACTGTAAATGTCCTCAGCTACGCTTCAGACAAATAAAGATTTAAATAAAAATTATTATGTATAATCTGACATATTTATTAATTCAGTAATTTCAACTAATGAAAATGTATTATTGAAGGTTTGTAATAATATTCAAATACTTTTCCTATTATTGAAATAAATAGCAAAACTTCTGAAATATTAGAAAGAATGTTATCATTCATTTATTCAAACTTTTTGTTGAAATATTTTGGGAAATTATTAAAGATTTATTATAAATTTTGGATAAATTCATTATTAATAAACTTACAAAAAATTGTTCTAAATTTCTTAGCTAATATTTCTAATGTGTTTTAAGAATCTATTAGAAAATTTACAAAATATCGTTCAAATCTTATTTATAATGAATTGTTTAAAAGAACAAATTTAAATTAATAGATTGTAAATTTAAATTTAAAGTAATCAAAGTTAATGAAAATAACAAAGAAAATAAAAAATATGAAATTTATATTAAATTGAAAATTTTTATCTGTGATTCCTTTAAAAACTAATGAAATATTTCATGTTAATACTTTCTATTTGTTAAATGCTATAGTATTTCTTATAAATTTAGACATTAAAATTTAATTTTCTTTATAATATATAAAATAATATTAAAATTCTTTTAATGCAGTAAATTTATAAATTTATTATAAAGAATTTTTTATAAAAAATAATATTAGAATATGAAAGTATACTGTTATCGATTGAAATATGATTAACTAAATATATTAATATCATATTATATCATTACTTTGAACTGATTATCTGTTAAATCTATAAATCCAAACCTTTTTTTTTTGCTTATTTTAAATGATAGTAAAAATTATACTAAAATAATTTATTAATTCAATTTATATACTGTTTATAATTTTATAAAACATCTAAACCTAATAACAATGGTGAGAGATTTATTTTGTAATTGCAATTATAATAATTAATTATTTGTAAATTTATCATGAAATATTAAATTGATTTTAATAAAAATAAGATTTAAAATATGTAATCTTAAAATAAACATAATTCATGCATATAAAGAGTTGTATATGATAAAGTAATTAGAATAAAAATTTTATACAAAATAACAATTTCTTATAAAGAATACATCTTTTAAAAAAAAATAGTAATTTAATTTCAGATCTCGTGTAAAAAAATATTTGTTTTTTTGATAATATAAAGAAATATGAAAAAAAAACATTCAAATTATTTTGCTTAATCTTATCTATAAAAAAAAATTTTTGCACTAATGAACTAACCAAATAAAATATTAGCAAATTACTTAATGCTTTTTATATAATAAAGGTTCTATTATTATTTTTGCTTTCATAATGAAAAATTTGTTTTTAAAGAAAAAATAATTTTTTTATTATTAATATAAAAGAATTGTGCCAGTATTTCATTTCAAAATATTTCTTTTTTTTTAACATTTTAAGGAATTTAAAGTGTTTTAACTAGTGTCTTGATTATTTATGATTTATATGCATTTTTGATATTATTAAAAAAAAATATATATAAATATAATTTATTTATTATTATTATGCTAAGCAATTTTTAATTATGATTAAAATAAATTCTTAGGATAAAAAACATGTAATTTCATTTCGTTTTCAAATAAAAATATGATTTCTTATCACACACCACCCGCTATAATTTATAAAGTTTACAACTTATAAAGGAAGACTAGACTACATGGTGAATCCGTCTACCTATCTGAAGACATGGTGAAAGAGTCTACCTATAACCATCGCCCCCCTTCACAAGAGGGAGAATAACACTCACAAAAGTGAATGCAAACTGAGAAACAAACGGATGGATTCTATCCTAATTTATATTAAAAAGTGAAAAAATGTGAAATTGTGGAATTCAAAGATCTTCATGATCTTCACTAATTATGGAAATATATGATTTGTAATGTGATTATCGCAATTTAAAAATGTTTCCATATGAATAAACCTTCAAAATTTCACGTAGAAATCAAATAACTCATTTTCGACGATGACCAAACCTAGAAAAACTTTATTATCAAAAAAAATAATAAAAAAATGGAAGAGATCGGTGACATGGTATCGAATATCACTACTTGAGTATGAAATATCCTTTAATTTCATTAAATTTTTTGGAAAAAAAAATTTAAACTTGTAAAAGAAGGTGATCCACCAGAAAGACACTAGAATTTTATTTATGACACTTAATGAAAAGAGGCAAGTCAAATCAGGTTACAAGTCTTGATATTGTGGTAAACCTTATACCAACCAATGAAAGCTCGTGGAAAAATTATTCCTAAATTGATCATCTTATGGAAAGATTTAGAAATATTATTAAGGACGATTGAAATGTCAAAAATTCTATACAAACCATTTCTGAAACCGTACAAGTAATTTCAAATATTGTGCTGTGTTTCTTTAAGCAAAATATCAAATTAATTTTTGTTTGATACTCCAGAGACAAACCAACAAATAGTTTTAAGACAGCCGAACGGGAAACTGCGATGCTTGAACATGAATGTAGATGGAGAAACGATCGCAGTGAGACAATTTGGGACGGACTTGCACTTTCTATACAATAAACATCGGCCAACCTCTGAAATATTTCAACAATATTTCTACTTCAACATCTAAACCAACTTTCGAATGGATATTGAATTTAGAGGTAATAAACAATAACCGGCCGACAACATAAATGTATCTTGAAAATCCAAACGACAAAAATTATAAAGATCTCGTTCGAGTCAATACCGATAGGGTTCAGGAAAGTCAGAGAAGGTTTAATAAAGTTACGACGCATTCTACCGATCAGGTCTCTTGCAATCAAGGCAGACAGCAGTTTTGAAAACAAGAAATGATATTACCTTGCAAGAATTGCCAGATAATGGAACTCAGTACGTTATTTAGTAATGTTACAAAATAAAAGTATTTTTTGAGCACAAGATTATTTGAAATTTAATAAAACATATGCAAATTTAACTATAAATTTATTAATGCATTATCCTGACAAACATTCACACCCTATACTTTATATAGTATATATTTTCGCAATTAAGAAAACATATCGTAAGTGAAATAAATATATGGCATGTTTCAAGTGAGGGAGTACTTAATGCAACTTCCTGCGCCAATTTAATTCGCATTACTATTGCTAACGCTACTGCTATTACTATTCATAAAACTAACCCATTATTTCAAACCAAGGTATGATTTTACCCATTGAGGTGGGTCGTGAGCTTTTCTGATGACGATAGAAACTAGCCAACATGATAGGACTAGATAATATGTTGTAAATTTGAGTTGAAGAATTCTTTATATATGATTTCGCGGGTTAGAAAATCATGGGCCAACGTAACATTTGATTTATTTCTCATTAATTTAGTTTTTATTACATTCCTTTAATTGGAAATGACGGTTTATATGATTTGTAAACCATTATTTAATCACATAATGATTCTGAAAATATATTTTGAATATGACTTTATTAACAAAGTTACGAAACATTTATCAAAAAAAATCCGGACTTAAGATAAAAAAAAACTTTTTAAAGTAACGTGAAAATTAAAAAAAACTAATATACAGTAAATGAAAATAAAGATGATGTTTGATCTGGACATATAAAAAAGATATTTTGATTACATTATTATTAATTATTAATATTTTTCACTGATAAAAAGAAACCAGGCCCAACTAAAATAATACCTGAATTTCTAATCAGGGTTAAATAAAATGTCGTGAGAATTCACATAAATATCCAGACATTAATTATAATGACAAATAAGTGAACGCTTAATATTTATAATAAAAATTGCTAAAGTGTCTCCCAGTGTTTTTCCTGCCATTTTTCAAAGTCAAGCTCGTCATCGTATTCTGGAGTAATTTCATCTCTTCCTTCGAATGACAATTGAATATAACTTTCGGCTAGACTAACGAAATCTGCATCTTTATTATATACAGTACTTTATAGCCATAATGATGTTTATCCTTAAGATAAATCTTTAAATATTGTAGAATTAAATCACAGAATTCGCAAATTGTTCAGGTTTGGTACACATTTGTACTGCTCTTCCCACAAGACATTGATATGAGGTGTCAAAATATTATGTTAATTTCTAAAAGTTCTCATATAAACATTAGCATTTCTACAATGAATTATTGAGGGATTTCTAAATCTAAAAATTTTTCTCGACTTTGTATATTAAAATTATCGTCTTGGTTGAATCCCCAAGATGTCTAAATATGTGCAGCAATCCTTAGTCTGATCGGAATCATATGTATTTAATCTGACCAGATTCGGTTTTAATCCATTGTTTTCTGGTATAAGAATTTCGACCAAAGTTGCATGTTTGTTATGAATAACGATGTAATAATTTATTTATTGATTATACCATTTAAATTCGAGATATCCTGATTTTATGATACATCTTATGTAACAAATTCTCTTTCCTTATTTTCATCCATAATACGTTGAAATAAAGGTCTTGTCGATTTTCATCCATAAAATAATTTCTTTGAAATTAAAAATGAAAATTTGCTAGTGAAAAAGTAGATTTTTATTACGAATTGAAATGCAGGAACTGGATACTTAGAAATACCATTAAACTGAATAATGGCGGATTTATTTTTAGACACTAATTAACTCGTTTGTAAGTATATTTTTATTATTCTTCAGTTTGTTTTGCTTTGATTTATGCAAGGAAACCACTAACTCTATTTATAATGAGCCTAAGAATTGTATTAGGAATCCACTTTGGAGCCAACATTATCACGGAATCCAATCGACGCACAAGGATATAGATGATATGAAAATTATTTACAGGGTTCGAAATTGAAATCAATTCGAAATCATTATTTCGATATTGATTTGAAAGTCCTTGAATTTTCAACCGGAACCTTCCTTATTGAGAAGTATGGATAAAATGTATTTGGAGTCCAAAACAAGACACCAATCATAATTAATGAAATTTTCAACACAATTTACATAATTTACAACAAGCAAATACATTTAAAAAATTCAAAAGTGAAAATTTATTTATAAATTTCATTAAAAAGTGACGGAAGGAGCCTAATTTTGTTGAACATTTAATCATTATCTACTAGGGAAAGGAATAATTTCAAAAGAGGGGTTAACCAAAAAGTCGTGATAAAGTTTCAGACATTATAAGGTCATATGAAAGTTAACACTTTAATTTTATATTAAATATATTTTCACAGTGTAAGCTTTTCAAGCTCTTACCAAATTCATCACCCAACTCTGCATGAAATAATAAATCTTGCAGAATTGGGTTTATGTTGGGATTTTCTAATCTTTAAGGTTCTCGTAAAATTTCAACGAGTACCATTTATATCGCCATTGACTGGAAGTGGCCACAAATCCTCCGTTGAGCAACGAAGTTGCTATCGTTGTCCAAATTCGTTGGTGACGATTATGGGAGGCAGATTCAAAACTATCGTGGTGCTGTCTTAGCCGAATTATTTGCTGTGTCGCAGCATGGATCCGTATACGACCATCGTGTGGATTGCTATTATGATTAGCAATGTAAAACCAGTGACCGTTGAGCCAATCTGTATTTTCTTTATCCCCAGCTTACTTGACGGCATAATGATGGACCTTCAATTCGAGATATCCTCTTTCATCTGTTTGTTGATTGCGCCAAACAACCAGTGATGGCAAATTATAAGGTCATTTACTATTTTTTAAATGACCTTGGTCATTTAGACTTGAAATTTATAATAAAAATGAGGTCATTTGAGGTCATTTCAAGTTCATTTCAAGGTCATTTAGCAACACTGGTGTCAGCGGAAGTGTATTGGGTAACAAATGTCCAATCTGGAGCGTTTTTGGGAGTGACGAGTAAACCATATATGATTTCGCGGTATTTAACAAGAAAGCATAATAATTCTTTGAAAATGAAGGTTTGGTTGATTTTCTTCCATAATGTAATTCTTTGAGAATAAAGAGGAAATTTGCTAAATTTGCTGAATGTGAAAAAAATGTTAATTTATATTGGATTGATAAATTATTGAAATACCAATTTGATAAATTATTTAGAAATACCAATTGTTCTTATTAAATGGATCAATTAAATAAACTTGAGCCCGTTTTGGTTGACAAAAAGTATGTTGTTATTTTTCGATTATTTTCGTTACTAACCAGAGTCTCACTCTATTTATAGAATTTAATTAGGAATAAATCCCCTTTGGAAAAAAATTACGTCAATGTTATAATTATCGCGCCAGTCTATTCTTGAAAATAATAGATTTTCTTTATTTAAAAAATATCATGCAAAAATACAATTATTTACACCATTATAGTTATGTTTATTATGTAGAAATACCACATTTATTTTTGACACCATATCGATATGTTTATATACGACACATTTTAGGTAGATAGATCGATTTTTGATTTCACAAATAATTAGCAAAAAAATAAAACTCATCTTTTAAAAATTTAATGATTTCTTTATGAAAAAAAAATCAGCTTTTTGTTATGAAGTTTTTGATTTTGTGGAATTTTTAGGCATCCATAAATACCAACAATGACCAAAAAAAAAACTGTGATAATCAAGGTTTTTGGATCATTTATACCCCTACTTAATTAAAATAAATAAAACGAAAAAAGCTTCTAGAATATGGATATTAACGCTTAAGATTAAAACATCTCGTAAAATAACTTGACCAAGGATTCCTTGTAATTGAATGATAATAACATTTGAGGCATCGTTAGCATTTGAAATGAAGTAGATTAGAGATGCGATTATGCCGGTGACAATTGATAACGTAATGATTGCTTCACTTAACGAAGGAAGTAAATGAATTTGTTTCTAAAAAAAAAAAGGTAGGAAATTAGTTATATTATTTCATTAATATTTTTATTTTTTTATACAAAGAAAAAAAAGATGAAATGAAAATAAAACAAACCGTGTTTTTTTCCATCTTTTGTAATCCGAATTACTTTTTTACGTAAAGAATGGTTTTCATTGAATAGACACATCTATTGGCTCGGTCAAGATCGTATTTTCGGAAGAGATATTATTCGTTACTATGATCTTCGACCGTTTATTTCATTCATATTCCGAGTTTTTTTAAAGAAAAGAATAATCTTCATATAATTTCGAAAAAATTTTGTTACAAATTTAGAAATTACGATGATAAAAAGTCTAATCTATTAGAAATTAGTTATAATAAAGTAATAAAGAAAAATGAACTTTGGGACCGCATAAGTTTAATATCTATTTTTAATATTCAATAAATACCTAATATCCCTAATATAGTATTTTCGGAGAAGTTCTGTCCTTTTTTATTAATTTTTTTATTAACTTTAATTTATTTCTCTTCGGATTCAACTGATCCTAAGAAAGGTAAGTGGAATTTGATATCCGAATATTCATATTCGAATATCACATTTTCAAACGGAAACTCTACTAGAAATAGTTACGCTTATTACTCGATAAATGGTTTAAGATTTCGTAAATTCAATAAAAATCACAATTACGAATAACCGAAAAAGAACATTTTTTTTATATTACAAATGAACTTTAAAATTTATTTACTTTATTTATTATTATTATTATTTGAGACATTAACATTTCAATTATTTGAATATTGAAAATAATTTTTTTTTAAGATTATCTCTTTTTAACAATTGGTACATGAAAATAACTAGTTAAACTAGATAATTGAAAGAAAGATACGAAACAATTGCAACATTACATAATTTTTTTTAAGGAGATTTATTTTAATTATTTCAAATGTCATAATTAACAAAAAAAAAATTTTTTTTCATTATAAGCGAATCGTACAATCATGATTAATTTCTTTCATGACAGGAAAAAAAATAAAAAATTATTTACGCAATCTTGCTTCTATTAAACCTTCTTAACTTCTTTTATTTTATACATTAAAAATTCTCAATCCATTAAAGATTTTGAACATATTCATTTTTGTCTAACAAATCCATGAGAGATTGCCAAGTGTGACTGCGGTGAATTTATGAATACCAATTTTTGTTGTGTAATGGTTTCATAAAAGTAAAACCTGTAATTATAAATATACGTGCCTTTTAAAGGAAACGTTTCTTTCATTGTCTTGATTAGTAAAAAAAGGAAATTAACATTGTAATAGGAAGAATTCAGGTTAAAAAATATTTTCGCGATGTGAAAAATGCGATTTTAATTATACAAGATCATCGGGATTTAACCATTTCGGTCTAATTGTGGAGGTGGTACAGAACTAACTACTATAATTAATTTAAATAAATCCAGCTTTTGTTGGGGTTTTTTTTTTATTTCCTTTGATTTTTGTTGAGCTGGTCAACTTCTTTATTTTTTCTTCTTTCTTTCTTTATGATCTTCTAGTTTATGTTCCCAATGATCCTTTTTATCTTTCAGAAAACAAAAAATTTTCATATTCTATTAGCATAACATATCAAATCACATAATATCACGCGCATATTTTTAAATCGGATAAAAAACACATTAATAAAGAAAATAATATATATATATATATATTTTTGAGGATGAGATATTTAAAGAAATACATGAATTCTAGTACAATCTTATTATCATTCTTGTTATGTATGTTTAATGCATCAGAATCATTATTCGTTGGGATAGCGAATTTAAAACAAGAAACGAAACCAAATTCGGCTAAAATCGTATTCTTGGTGGAATTATTTAAGATGATTAGTAAGTTAAATTTAAATACATACATAAATAAGTATGTTAAATGTATATTAACCAATCTTTCTCGTTTCATTTTTATTATTTTATTTTTTAGTATCAATGATTTTGTTTTCAATCGAATTGGGATGCTTTTCAAGGGGAATGACGTATGAGACATCCCCGTCCCGATTTAGAAAATCAAAATCAATAATCAATCTAACCCCGTTCTTTCAATCTTTAAAATCCGCTTTCGCGAATGAGGCGACTTTATTGTTTGGCATACCTGCGATGGCTTATTTCATCAATAATAATCTCATCTTCATCATCCTATCCTTAATGAATCCTCCTACCTTTACCATACTAAGTAATTTAAAAATTCTCACCACTGGATTATTCTCTTATGTCTTTTTAAATAGAATTTTAAGTACGACCCAATGGGTATCATTGATCTTATTATTCTTTGGTACGACGATAGCTCAGGTTCAATTCTCTACCGAAGGGGAATTCGAATTTACCTCGTCATCACTCGGATTTCCATTGATCATAATCTTTTCATCAATATCGGCCGGTGCTTCGGTTTATACTGAATATGTGATGAAAGATAAATTAGGTCATGAATCCATCCACTTACAAAATGTTAAATTATACTTATTTGGGGTATTATTAAATGGTTCGGTTTACTTCACTCATTCATTTCCAACTGATGAAGGTTTCTTCACTACCTTATACCCAATTCATTATGCCATAGTCATAACCGCTTGCTCCCTTGGTTTAATTACGAGTGCTATCATCAAGTATAGTGGTAGTATAACCAAGGTTTACGCGAGTAGTTTGGCAATGTTCTTTAGTAGTTTTGTTTGTTACTTTACTTTGGAATTCCTTCCTACCATCAACTTTTTCTTGGGTGGTTTGATCTGTCTATTGGCTGTAAATTTGTATAGTATCAGCGGTTTAGATGATCATAATTTGAGAATGAATAAAAGTGGTTTAAGAAATGAGGATCTAGAAGAATCAAACTTTGAGAAAAAGATGTTGATAAAAAATGTATGACGTATGACGTAGATGTAATAAAAAAAAATGTATGGTTTCTTTTATTTTAATTTTTTTTTATCAAATCTAATGTATATATATATCTTTATTTATTTAATTTCTGATTATGAAATAATAATTTGTGAATACTTTCATTCCTTTCTATATTGTATATAATACCTTGAAAAATTAAATAAAATCATAACTTCTATAATAAATTCTATATCTAAAAAAATATAATTTTTTTTCTTTTTTGATGAATTTGATAATGTGATGTTGATTATGTTAATAAATTTTTTTTTTTTTTTAATTAATTAATTAATTATATGTATATATATGAAATGTGATTATTTTTATTAAGATGATTAAGATGCAACATTAGGTACATTAATATTCTTTGGAACTACCCCAAATTTATAATCCAAATCCTAAATAAAAGGATACCAAAAAAAAAAAAAAAAAAAGTTAAATTCATCATAATGATTTCATAATAATAGAGATGTTGGAAATTATTTCAACTTACCAATAAGATTTTTAAGGCATTTCTACTTTTAAGGTAACCACCCAGATCCCCAGTTTCTGTGACATTGCTGACAACCTTACCAACCTTTTCTTCTGTAGCGTTCCAAGGGAACCATCGTTGCAACAATTCGTAAACCATTAAAGTTGTACCAAATTGTGGGGATGATCTGAATACTCTGGCTGGCCCTCCCTTAAAGAAAGCTTTGAATCCTTCTTCTGCACAGATTTTCCTTGCCGCATCAAATATACCGTTGTAAGCTGTTTGCCCTTTCCTTGCTTCAACTTGTAACCTTGTCTTGATCACATCGGCTGGTGTGGTTAAATACGCTGCCGGCATTCCAGCTATGGCTCCTGCTGATAATAACTCTCCTATGCTTAGACTTTTCTCTGGTCCCTCTCCAAACACATCTGATTTAAGATGTGCATATGCTGGAAAATAAATGGCCGAGAATGGTATGTCTCTTAACAAACACGCCGACGCTCCTTTATATAATCCTAATATTCCGAGATTCCTTACTATCCACAACGCTGATCTACGTTGAATGTCTGGTGATAATTTCTTTGCCATCTCTCCTTGTATTTGAAGTCGAATCTTTACAATTTCCAATGGATTTGTAAAAATCTACATATAAAAAAAGATATGTATATAATTATAAATATACACACATACATACATACATACAACGGATTTATTTCATTTAACGCGATATATATCTTAACTTACCACTTGACAACCTCCTGCAGTACTACCAGCCAAAATTTCGTATTTTAATGGAATCATGCCATTCTCATTCTTTAACTTTGATCTTACAAGATCGTTCACTGTCAGCTTGATAGCCTTTTCCGGAGCAACTCCCTAATAATAACAAGAGAAGAAAAAAGTTTAATTTCCTCGCGTAAAAAAAACTTTCACACAATGCCATATTATATATTGCATTCATGATCTCTACTTACAACCAATTGAGGACCGAGACCACTGTAAAGACCTAAAAGGCCTTCATTCCTTATGACTTTCCGAAAACAATCGATACTATTTTTATATAATAATTCTCCTACAACCTTTGATCTCTGATTTTGCATTCTCGTTTTTACCAAATCGATTGGATAAACGACGGTTGCACCAACGGCACCAGCGATCGACCCAAGAGTAAAAGAGTACATGTGATGTAACACGGCCCATAAAATTCCTTTATGTTCTTTTGCTTGTGTTTTTTCTGGTATATGTTGATCTGGTTTTCTTTGCCATTTAGGGTCCAACAATTGTGAAAAATCCCTTCTACTTAACCTTCCCGAAGGATTTCCAAGTCCAGCAAAGTGAAATATTATATTAGCTTCTAATGGGGTAAATAAAGAAAATCTCGTCTCTTTTGCAGCGGTATTAAGAAAATCGTTTTTCGTGATACATCCATCACTACTTTCTGATATAGCCCTCAACACAATCCTTTCAACCATATCCGTTTGTCTTACAACGTTATGAAACGCCACAACGGTAGCATAGTTTATTTTTTTACCGACTGATATGTTACATAGAGTGGGTAAATGTTCTATGAGATAATCAGATAATTTATGTTTCGCGATAGATAGGATGATTCGCTTGAAAGATTCAGGAGCGATGTAACCTGATCCTTCTTGATCATAATATTTAAATTCTTGTCTCAAACGTTCAGCCTGCAAACCTTTTAACAATTGAGTAAATTCTTCATAATCTAATTCGTGTTTCTTGTCATTATTCCATCCAACATAATATTTTAACCAATCACAATCGAAATTAAAAGGAACGCTATCTGGTTCTACATTTGAGGTCAGGATCTCCTTAAATTGTTCAACGGTGATCTTGCCTTTACCTTTCACGTCAAATAATCTAAAAGCGATTTCATAATCCGCATCAGGTTTTGACAATAGATTTTCGAATACTATAAAGTCCTGAAAAGATATTAAACCTTTCCCCCTATTATCAGCTATCCTAAACAATATAGCGAATTGTACTTTTTGTATTTTTTTGTAATCCTCCCCCGGTGCTATAGCCGAAATAAAATCCTCTCGGTTCATATATTTCTGTCCATCAAGTTTAACGGTCGCAAACCTTTCGAAAACTTTTTTTTGTAAAGCATACTGTTTTTCCGGTGAAATACCACGTGTCGAACGTAATAACTCTAGTGACGAAGATGCCACCGGTTCCGTTGTTGACATGATTTTAGTCAAAGTATGATTTGTAAATAAATTTATAGGGAGATAGATAAAGGAATGATCCCGATTTATTATATTAAGATATTAAAGAGATATGGGGAAAGCGATAATGAAGGGTAGAGTAAAAAATTAGGAGGCGAGAAAAAAATTTTTTTTTCACGGGTGATGTATAAATACTTTTTTTTGTCCTTATAAAATTAATGATTGAACCAATCGAAGCAATCGCATCAAGATGCCTGTGTGCACAAAAAAAAAATTGCTCAGTTCAATTATTTCCATTTGTTCCATTTTTTCTTTGGGGGTTGTAAAGAGATTTTTTTTTTTATTTAACCCAACCGGTATTTCCCACAAATTTTCCAATTATGCAATTCATCGGACATTTCGTAACAGGTGGTGTAACTCACTGCACGAGATATTAATTATAATAAATAACATCTATTTATTACATAAAAAAATTTTTTTTTTTCAAGATCGTTTTTTTTTTTCTCTTCATTACGTTGTTTGAAAGGAGGATTTGTTTGTAATTCTTTCGCCATATTTAAATCTTAAAAAAAAATTGATTGATGATGATTTATTTGTTTATCAATCCTGATAATCTGGAAAAGCAAATTCTTATATAGCGAATCATACACCCGATACAAATATCTCATTCCATGTAACCACTCTAGCCGAAAAATTATCGGAATTACGAGATCCATTTTCGGTTACAATCCTGGGAACACATTTTTTTTATAAAAAAAAATGACGAGTAATTATGGTTAAAGGGGATAAAAGGTCAAAGTGGAGAAAATTACAAATAAAAGGAATTAAAATTCGTAATGATGAGTAATAACATCTTTTATTAACAAATAAGGGGTCTTGAAATAATTCATTTCAAATAGGCTTCTAAATATAGTTCAGTAGATCTATTTTCGTGGGAAATTTCGGATAATTCATGTAACACTATCATTTTATTCAAAAGATTTCTCCGAGTTATCGCAGTACAAGTCTGTTTATTTATGTAGTAAGACATTTCATCTATTACATTTGTAAACTTTCATATGAATGGTTACGAGTGACAGGGACAAGAAGTTTTCTAAAAAAAAAGAATTTCTTTGGATTATGAACAATGGTAAAATGACTAAAATTCCATTCTTGGATTAGAAATAAAAAGCTGGCGGTGTCATGACCTTTTTTTTTATCGAGATGTCAAAAAAAGGCTTTCAAAATTATATAAGGTAATTAAAAAAAAAAATAATATATATATACTATCATAAAAAAAAAAAAAAAGTAAAAGATCTGATTCGCCGCCTCAAAACGGATAATTCCAAAATTGTTTCAACCTTTGACACTAGCATCAACCTTGTCAGCCACAGAACGGATGCTACAGTATTGTCACCGAGTAAAAATCATGAGGGTCCAAGGGTGTAACATTTTCAAGTGACATAAATATGGTGAGACAAACCTGTCATGCATGGTGATGGACTTGTCGACACGAGTCTATTAAAAGTGTGAAGAAAATTTTCGATTCATGATGTCTAATCACGTGAGCAATAAAATTTTTTTAAGCAACTCACATTAAGACGGATGTTTGTTTCGCAACGGGGAACCCCCATTTCGTGCATTCTTTCAACACATTTGCGAACGGCAGTCATCACCTGATCGAAGTTACCCTCTACGTTAAATAAAATTAAAGAATTAACGCACGTGTTTACGAGAATCGCGCAACAAGTTTTTAAATAAGTTGACAAACCGAAATTGGTTCCATTTGCATGCAAGTAATAATTCAAGCTTGATGAAATATGATCCAAAGTGTTAATAAAACAAGAGAAGTGATGAATGTAGGATAATAAGAATTGTTTTACCTAGAACTTTGCAAAATCTTTACACACTCTGTGATGTACTAAAAAAATATGATAATTTTGGAATCAAACGAACGATTATCTATTTAAATTTTTGTAATTTAATGTCCTAACGTTATTCTTTACATACATCTTTGGTACTACCCTGAACCCCCATCGGAGTTATACATAAATCAGCGAGGACGTGGCAGGGTTTATCAGTAGAAGACATGATTTAATCAAGCGAGAAAGAAAATTTAAAACGTGTTGTAAGAAGAGAGAAGGTTTGAAAAAACTCTTAAAGATGGGAAAAAAGTGTATCTTCAACAAATGTGATCATTTTGATCCAACTATTTAATTATGTTGATATGACACAATAATCGCATGAATGCTGAAACGGATTTAGTTAGAGTTGCGGCGACGCAGTATGAGAAAATAATAACAATGGTACAGGTATATAACTTGTTTTTTCAATTTAAAACAAAAGCCATTTATTTTTTTTGTACTAAATTTGTTATGGGCGAGAATATATATAACCACGTAATAAATATTATTCAGCTTGTTCTTTGGTTTCGACTACTTCTGTTTCTTCTCGAGCTTTATATGAATAAGCTGAGACTACCAAAGCAAAATACATCTGTTACAATAAAAATTTCTTGGTTCAATAATTTTTTTTTGTTAAAAAAAAGAGAATTATTTAAACATTTAATAAACATACCGATAAAAGGATTACAACGACGGCATATGCAATACTGAATGTTAAGCCATAATTGTATCCTTGGTTACATGCGTATCCAAATTGAGGATTAGTGGCTTTAATGTAATTTTCACATTCTTCTATGATCGATGTCTTTTGTACAATAGTAAGAATAATCAAATAGACATGAACAACAACTTCAGCTCCTGCTATACCATATGCTACTTTAGAATATTTAGGTAACCATTGAATCGACTAAATCAATTTATAATAAAAATTAATGGGATGAAATTTCAGTATCAACATTGTTAATAAATTTTCTCGCCACATACCACACGGGTTACCGCGATTAATCCAAAAACCGCTCCGATTGTTATCAATACATAAACAACAGCTGGCAGAATGAAAAATGAACGATTATGATGGAATGCTATATTTATTTCAATAAAATAAGAATTATATATTTGCTTTTTTATTTATGAAAGAGAGAGTATGAAAGAGAGAGAAGGACCAACTTACAATCCGGCATATCTGTAAAATCAATATAATCTCTTGAGATAAGAGATAAGATAGAGGTCACACTATATAAAAGTCCTTCAATCTTTTTTATTTTGTAAGTATTGATTTTAAATGCATTATTAAGTGTATATTGATCTATTGCACAATTGAAAGAAAAAAAAAACTCACAAGCCATAATATGGATAAAATCAAGACACCAGCCTTTAATCTAACACAACCGCAACAGTTGTTAATATGTTGTATGGACATTTTGGTAATTATTATTTTTGGAGAGTTCGTTAAAAAGTATTCTTATATATTTTATTATTTTTTAATTTTTTAAAAAAAAATAATGAAAAAAAAAAAGTTTCAACGGGAAGATTATACTTTTAAACATTAGCTAAGCCCCCAACGCTACCTTTCAATGATATATTTTATTAAACAAGTTTTTTTTTGCTAAAAATTTTATCTAAAAATTTGATGAAACACGTAAATTTATTTATTTTTTCATTTCATTTTTTTTTTTTATAAAAAAAATAATAAAAAAAAGAATGGATTTTTCTTTGCTCCTCAATTATATATATATTAATCTTGTCAATGATTTCTAAAATAGGTATAATTACGTGTTATTATATTTCTACTATTTATGTATATTCATTTAATAATAATGGATTTCTCGAAAAAAAAAAAAGGTAAATTGTTCGACAAACAATAATTGTTTCAAAAATGGGAATATTGTGATTAAAAATAATATTGTCTCTTTATATTTGTTTCATAAACACCTGTCGAAAATAGACAAAATAAATTCCGTTTCACTTCGTTTCCTTAAAATAATCAAAAGAATACGTTTTCTAGGTTTTTGATATTCGAATATCGAAAATCACCTATCAAATTAATTTCCGCACTCAGATGGAAGAAGCATTGCTTCGAGCATGCTATCAATAGTTTCATTCTCTCGGAAGATTAAGATGTTACGCAAGCATATTCTTCTGATTGTAGATTCATTCTGTCAATGAAGATCAAATATGATAATTTTAAATTTTACTTTGAATATCCTAACACGGCATTATTTTTTAAAACTTCTATCTTTAAATATAAAAAAAAAATAAAGAATTTTATTTACATGTATGTTTTGATTTACTTATTCCTTTTAGGCTTACGTTATAATTTCGTATTTGGTGGCGCGGACTTCTATAAATTTTTTTCTTTTATAATATATTTTTGTCAATCGGATGGTTTATATGAATGATACTGTATATTAGAAATAAAAATAATAATTATTTTTTTCAAATATTTTGTGTAAGATCGATCGAAAGAGAAATAAAAAATAAAAATTATATTTTTTTTTTATCGATATGTAATTAAGGACATCGATAATTCGACATATTTTTCGAAGATTTGAAACTTAATATTTTGAATGAATTTCAACTATTACAAGTATTTTCAATTTTCGTTGAATATGAAATACCAACCATATTTTTCTCATTCAAAAATATCACCGGTTCATCATCCTATTCATCTTATTTTTGTGAAGAAAAAAAAAATCCAGATATTTTCTGTCGGTAATTTAACCGGCATAAAATAATCAATATGATTCAGATATGAAATCGTGCACCTTCTTTATTTATCTATTATTTTTTTAGAAATTAATAACGTTTTCACTTCAAATTTTGAAGTGTAATTAAATCTTGGTTATTATAAGTTTGATTTACGAAAGGGTTAATATATATCAGATTTGGCATTATTCAATACAGGTATTTATAGAAAATTTGTAAACAATTCTCTTGAGGAAGGAACCTCAAAGAAGAATGAGTTATATCAAGGACGTATGGAATCCAAATCGGAAATTTTTTGTTTATAATTAGAATGAAATGGGGTAAAGCGAAAATTTAATGAACTTTTTTATTCCATATTTCGACCGCAAAATTAAAAAAAAAAAAAAAACATTAACTGATTGTTTGGTATGCGCGTTACGAACCGTCGTTTCATCCGAGTATAAACACAGAAGCAAACAAATATTTTATTATGTAAATAATATATATATATATCACGAGAATATGTTATGAAAAGGTGAATTGGTTAAATTTGAAACAACACCACATTACACGCGCAATCAAATATATTGTCTCGTTCTAGTAGTAACCTAAATAAATATTTTTAAGAGAAATCAACCTATTAAACGATAAAGTGTGAAACATTATATTTCCATTAAGAAAAGCCGATTTTCATTGCAAAACTGCTTAGACTAATAAATAACATGCAATTAAGAAATAATTAGAAATCATTTACACTAACTTTTATTTGTAAAAATAAAAAAAGAAAAAAACTTACCAATAAAACTTTCACCACATTTAAGTTCCAAAGCAATTTTTAAGTTTTGTAATGTACCAGAGAAAGTAGTGGAAGGATTATTAAACTGATAGTCAATCAAGGATTTTGCCAAGGCTTTAATACAATCCGTGCATACAACATTGGGTGGAGATTGAGCAATTTTTGAGGTAAAATCTTTTGAAACTTGAGCGTTTTGATTTAAACCTTCAAAGCTAGAGATGATACAATCGTCTTTACACAATGATGTGTGTAATATATCATATGAATTTAATAATATCACACCATTCATGTAAGAATAATCTCCTCCTCCAGAACATGTCGCACTGTATTGATCTGATGCTGTTTTAAGTTGATCCGGAGTACATTGGTTTGCACAAAATTCTGGAATTAGTTGCTTTAGATTTGTAACGATATTTGGATCACTTGAATCGATTATTCTTAAAGAGTTGAAACTATTACTAAAACAATTTGCTATGTCCAAGTTATCCGTCAGAACTTGCACGTCGCTATTACATATTGTTTGTGAAAAGACTAAAGTGATTTCAATCATCATCAGCACAATTATTTGCGTAAAAATAGTCGAAAAGGATTTCATTTTTGAAGGATAGAAAAATAGAAAATAATACAATGAGAAAATATTTTTTTCTTTTTCTTTTTTTCTTTTTTTGTGGTGACAAAAATTACAGAAAAACGGTTCAATTTAAGTAAAACCAAAGAAAAAGGGGAATGAAAATCTTGAATCAAATTCGTTTCATGGATTGTCATCAATTGCGTTTAGAATGAATAATTTTTAATGATGATTGCCCAAATTTCAGAAATTTTCAGGCTCTCAAAATATTTATGAAAGATTAGCGTCATAAAAAAAAAATATATTTTGATTTTAAAATTACGACAAACCGAGCTTACTTTTATTTTTATTTTATTTTTCGAATGATGGCTCGAATGATTGTATGTTAGAAATGAATAATAATGTATTAAAGAGGGGAATATTGTACATGATGCGAAAATGAAATGTATATTAGAATAATTATTATTATTATTTCTTGAATTTTTAAAGAAATAACAACGATGCATTTTTTGTTTTTTTTAAAATATGCAAAGGTGTAAGTAGATGATTTAAAAAAAAATATTAATTAAAATGATGTCGTCTATACAGTTTGATCAGTAAGATCATATTCTTTGTCAATTTTAATCTTCATTAAACTAGGTCCAATTAAATTATTAGATGAACGATTGATAACTCTCTCTGCTTTATCTCTATCCATCCAACGTTTTGCATTAGTTCGCAACATGATTGAAAAATAAACCTAAAAGAGAAAGGAAAGGATGTAAGAAAATTTAAAAAAAGGAAAAGAAAAAATATATATATATATATATATTTAATTTTACTTACGTGCAGAGTAATTTGAAGGAACACGGCAAGACCCAACCAAAATAAACCAGTATTTACATAATTAAGGCAATTTTGATTATCTTTACAATGTCTTTTTTTGTTAATCAACGACGTGACAATTAATACCATGACTATCACAAAGTTTATAAAAACCGCAAATAGCCATGAGATGTATGAATATATTCGAAAGAATGGATTGTATTTCTAATTAAATGAGATTCTATTAATTTCACGTGTCATGGAAGTAAAGCAAAAGTTCTCGAGTTGTCCACTTACATAAATAATTAACGAAGCATGACCAAGTATGCTCATGATAAACAATAATACAAAGTGCAAGGACACAATCATCGATGCTCCCTTGGCAAATGTGTATACTGTAATGCAATAAGATCTCATGAGTGAATATAATTCGAAAAACCATGAATAAAAAAATTAAAAAAAAGACTTACTCGATACTTCGTCTTCTTCCAATGAATCAAATGAACCATATAAGAATTTTACCGATAAGGCAATTGCTTCTATAATCCATAAAGTAAAAGAAATTATGACACCTGGTCGTATCAGATAGAAACAATAATCTCGTTTCTTTGTAACTTTAACATTTTCGAATTTCATTTGTTACTATTTTTTTTTTAAATTATTTCTTTATTTTTTTTTTTTTAAAAAAAAGCCTGATCGTTAAAAAAAGAATGGTTGATGAAATGCCCGTTATTCTTTAATAAAGTTAAGAAGGTTTTCCTTTGTAAAGAGGGCAATAATAAAAAAATTCGAGGCCAAAAAAGAGAATCAGAAAATAAAGATAATAAAAATTTCTTTTAACGAATGAATAAACCAAAAAATGAGAGATATTTTTTGGTAAAATACATTTATGATGAGAACATGAAAAAAAAGGAAAGTAAAAAGGAAAGATTTTTCGAATTGTATGTTCCTTTTAAATGTTTGTATATATATATATATATATATATATTTCTTAATACCAATAATTCATTTTAAATTAAATACAGAATAGTACCTCAATTGTCATACCTAATTGTAAATAATTAAATAATCGCGTTTCATCCTGATTTAGAAGAATTGCCTATAATAAATAAAATATAAATTATTTCCTTTATACATGCCAATTTCGGATTTTATGGATGCAAATGGAAGCTTTTTAAAAAATTGTATCTCCTAAGAAATGGTTCACCCCTTCCAAAATGAGTAATAGGTAACCTTTTAATTGGTTACATTCAAAATAAATAAAAAAAATTGCCTCCTATAATTACTTTTTACCCTTTTTTCTTTTTAAAAGTTTTAAAAAGAGTGGGATTAACGATTACATCAAGAAAACTTATCCTTAATTAAAGAAAATATTGCCGGAATCGTGTTACTTTGTTATAACAAAGAAAAAATATTTTAGGAAAAGTTTGAGGGTCATTAGATAGATGGGCTAGCATTTTAATTGTTATTCAAACAAACAACCCTTTTGTTTGCTGCGGTCGATCATTATATACATTAATCGTACATCCTAATTGCACCAATCAATGATCAAATTTTTTAAAGGGAATAGTGGAAAACGGCGATTTCCGTATTCGTAAATAAAAAAAACTTGATTAATAGCAAGTTATGAATATAACAAATCAGTCGCTATGGAACGCCAAGGGCTAAATCTATCATAGAATATATAATTTATTTTTGTCTGACTAATCATAAATTGAAATTGCCTGAGAAGCGTTGGTCTCAACTGAGACACATTGCTAATTACCATTCGGGAAGAAACCAAGTTTCGAATACTTGATACTGCGCCATCAAATGTAAATAATGTAATAATTCTTTTTTTTTTAATCTCTCCCACCCCTCTCTTTGTTTTTTTTAAACCCAAAGTTTTTAATCATCATCATCACCATGTTTTCTTGTTTTACCAATTAAGTTTTTTATTTATTAAAAATATGCAAAATTTATTTATTGCATAAATTTTGTTTCTTATTTCCGCTTTTATATGATGATTAATATATTAATTTTTATTTTTATAATTGGATTATAAAATAGTATTTAACTTTTTTAATAAGACAAAAATAGTTAGATTCTTTAACAAAATTTTGAAATAATAGAAAACAATAGTACTTCACACTTTAATTAAAATAGAAAAGCAATTCTAAAAATATATAATAATTTTATTATAAAAAAAAGATTCAAAATTTTTTAAATTCTTAACAGAATAATATAATAACAATTTAATTTATCTACTAATTTTTTATAAGAAATTTTCCTTAAAAAAAAAAGAAATTTTATTATAAAAAAAAAAAATGCTATAAATTAATTAATTTAAAGATTTAATTATAAATTTAAATTAATTTAAAAAAAATATATTTTTTTTATTAATTTAAAAATATATTATATATAGTATTTATATAAATATAATTTATATAAGATTAAAAGCAATTTTTTATTTTTTAAAAGATTTGAATTTTAATATAAAAAAAAATAATAATAATATATTAGTCAAATTAGCTAAAAATCAGATAGTTAATTTTAGGTTGATTAATGACTGATTTATGTATGATTTACTTTAATTCTAATTAGTAAATGCAAATGTAAAAATTAATTAACATTAACTCAATTGTTAAATAAGTAAACATCTGAATGTCTTATGTAAATCATACATAATAGTTAGTAATACCTGATGAAATTAACTTTCTTAATATAACGAAATTAATAAAACCAAAATAATAAAACTAGTTTTTTATTAATGATAAAACTATTTTACTTAATTGTCAAAATTATATTTAACTTAATTTGAATTCCTTGAATTAAAATACATTAAAAAATATAATAATTTTATATTTATTTATATAAAAATATTAAAGAGACAAATTCTTTTGACAAAATTATTTTTCAAAAATGAGTTTAAGCAAGTATCACTAATAATAGTATATAGTCTTTCACTATATTCTAAACTAATACTCTCATTAATTAGTTTAAATCAGTTTATAATCAGCTATCAATTAGCTTAAAATCAGCCTAAGCAACTTAGAACTAATAATAATAAATTTAAATTTTATTAATTTATTATATTTACATAATTATTAAATTTGATTTTTTTAAAAAAAAATAAGAAAAAAATAGAAATAATTAAAAATTAACTTTAAAAATCCACTTTCAATTAAAATATATTTATAAAAATATAAAGTAAAATAAAGGAATAAGTTAAAAATTCCATCTCAAAATCACTTTTAATTGTTTTATTATAGTATATTCCTAAAAAAAAAAAAAATAAGAAAAAAATTAGAAATGTTAAACAGACTTAAAAGTCTAAATAAATTTGCAGTTCTAGAGAAAATTTTATTTTACTAACATTATATTTTACTTTCTAATGATAATTTGTTAATTGAATATTTATTAAATATATATATTAAACTTATGTAAAAATGCAGAATTTTAATTTTTAAAACTTAGAATCTAGTCTTAAAGATTAGATTGATCAGATCATATCTTAGTGGACTTATGTTAATTGTTGATTTCAAAGTTCATATTTCTTTTATAAGTTATTTATAAAATTTATTATTACAATTATTTATTAAGAGTTACTTATTATAGATAAGCAATCAAACTTTTCTATAATTCGTAATTTCAATATTTGTTTACAGTCATTTAGAACTATTTAATATCTTTAAAAAAAATTAAAAAAATTTATATAAAAATATAAAAATCACTTTTGATTTACTTACCTTAATTTCAAAATGAAAATTTTCTAAGAAGAAAAAAATGGAATAATAAGTTTTCACTTAAAAAATTATTAATAATTTACTTATTTATTTAAAAATAAAAATTTTCTTAAAACAAAATAAAAATTGATAAATTTTTATCTAAAATATTACTTTTAAATAATTTATCTTATTTTTAAAATGAGAATTTTCTAAAAAAAAAAAAAAAAGAAAAAAAAATAGTAAAAAATCTTTCAAAATAATAATATTTTTAAAAAAATACAGAAAAAATGGAAAAAAGGATTTTTTTCTGATAAATCTAAAAGTTTATATTATAAACTAAATTGATAAATTTAAAATTTTATATTATTAAAACTTATTCTAATTAAATGATTTACACATTAAATAATTTATTATTATACTAGAATGATTTTTATCATTATTATCCCTTAAACTGTAGGTTTTTGCAAGCAAATTTGTCTGCATAATTTCCAAAGTTCATTTTGCATTTTTTCTTAAACTTATTAATTGATTTATAAAAAAATTTATTCCTTACAAATATAAATCCTTGACGCTTTATTCAAAGTAATTTTATTTTTATTTTATAATAAGAAGCAGTATTAACAAATTTCCAAATATAGACAATTTATTGTCTCAAATAATTTTATTTATTCACCTTAATAATCACTTTAATTATTTGTTATAACTATACATATATTATACCAAAAATATCAATTTTGATATGCTTTATACTAATCAATAATATAAAATAAAATAAAATAATAAAAGTCCTAACTTTATATAGTAATAAAAACTAGTTCTCATTCAGAAAGTGTATGAAAATCTTTAAAGTACAAACGTTGCTTATTACAGTATAGTGCAACGTTACATTCACTACACCAGAGTTGAGATTAAAGTGGATTCTTTAAGTTTATGTCATTAACTTTTCTATATTTATAACGGCATCACAAACAAGCATCCCTTTTTTCTTTATACTTTAGAAAATGATTATTACTAACTAATCTATCTGTAAGAAGTTCAAAACTATTTGTTACCCTATATTTTTTTATGTTAGTTTTTTCCTCTATAAGATCTTAACCTTCAGAACTTTGTGTGATTCTTTTTAAAGGATTACTTGTTGTATCATTAATTAAATCTTGAACTAATTGTAACCTAAAATCTTTGTGTATATAACACAAACTTAATTCCTTACAAATAAGAAAGAAATTGATGATTGAAGTGTCAAGTAATCAAAAAACAGAAGCATTCATATTCTACGAACTGTCAGTTGAGTTGAATAGTAACTGCGATATTGGTCAGCTATATCAACACCTCTATATGGTAATTGTAATCATTTATAACTTTTAGTATAGATAAAGTTTTACGAGAAGATTCTCCAAATACTAACTTGACCTTATTACTATTTGTGCTAGTTTCACGTGAACTTCTTCTTTTTTTATCAATTCTGCTTTCATTCCCATTAATAACATGTATTATTGTTAACATAGTTACAGGACCATTATCAATCCAAAGTAAAGATAAGATATTATCTACTATCACGCCCTTTAGATGATCCTATTTCAAGTCTTTTTTTTCTTTTTCTTTTTTCAAAATGATGGAAAATTTTGCTGTATTCGTACGAACTGTACTACATGCTCTATAACCATTATTTTGAAGAAAATTAAATAAATTTAGCTTGAAAAATAATTGTTTATAAATATATTAAATGCTTTACGAGATAGAAGCTGATTTACTAAACGATAAACCTTAGCTTCAATTTTGTTAAAATTAGGAATTGAGGTAACATCTGAAGGTTTAATTCGTGACATAAATATGAAGATATAAGTATAACCAGATTCGCATAATGAAAAAATTTTGTAACCTTCTGGAGTAGGCTTATTTTTGATTCGATAAGTATGACTACTACGTCCA